AATTCATAAGAAATTTCAAGGAGACCCAAATAGCCAAATGGTTTTAAAATGGGAGAGGAAAGACCCTAAGAACTGAAACAGGTGTTCAAACAAAAATTGTACAAGAATGTTTAAAGCAGCCTTATTCATAATAGCCAAACAATGCAAACTGCCAGTGGTCAAATCTAGGACAGATTGAAAGTAAATCATCATCACAATCCATAGTCCATATGGAATAATATAAAGTTTTAATAAGAATAAATATATGAATTTTAAAACAAACTACCAACAAATAACTGGAGAAACTCTTGCTTAGAGTAGAACGCCAATGAAAAACCCTTCCACTGTTTGCAACTATCATGGCCATAATTGATTCTGGCAAATATCAATGGATACTAAAACTGAGTCAAAGTTTAACGGGGAATAGAACATTTATACAGCCTCAATGTAGTAATATGTCAGTGTTACATTTTCTGAATTTGATTGCTGTAGCTATGTAAGATAATAACCTTGCTCTTAAGAAGTATATGCTGAAACAGGCATTTTTAGGGGTGAAAGGTCATATTGTATGCAACATTTACTTAATTTTATAATAATAATTATTGCATATATATGTGTGTGTCTGCCTGCCTATCTATCTATATGATGAAGCAAATGTAGCAAAATGTTAGCTATTGGTAAATGTAGGTAAAAGATACATAGCTGTACTTGCAACTGTCTTATAAGTTTGAGGTTTTTCCAAAGGAAGTGACAAAATGAAACAAGGCCCACTCATTCCCAACATAAAAATGCCCCCTTCTAGAATCCACTCCCTCCCTTCGGCTAAGGAATCCTCCTGCAATGCAGGAGACCTGGGTTTGATCCCTGGGTTGGGATGGTCCCCTGGAGAAGACAAAGGCTACCCACTCCAGTATTCTGGCCTGGAGAATTCCATGGCCTGTATGGTCATGTGGTTGCAAAGAGTTAGACACAACTGAGTGACTTTCACTTTCAGAATGCACTCCAGTAAAGACGTGGTAGGGTGGATATGTGGCAGGTTCCGTTCTAAAGCACTTTCCATCCATATGGCTCTTGATGCCTGTGTTCCTGTGTTTCACCATGAGGATAACATGAGATCTGATGAATAAAACACACACCCCACAACCCCTGTATACAAAGTAGGAGGAGATTCTGCCTTGCTTGGAGAGTTCAAGAAGATCTACAGGCTGGCTCAAAGACAGTTCTGGGGGGACTGATGTTGGTGGGAGCACTTCATTACCTTTAGTTCAAGGTGAAGACCCTGTTTGGGAGGGCTGTTCAGCTGAGTCCAACACTACACAGCCTGGCGGGGTAGACGGTCCAGAGAGATGACAGAATGGGGTGGTGGGTCCCACAGTGTGGCTGATACCCTACGACACACCTGTCATTAGCACTGTCAGATGCTGCCAACCTAATAAATAGGGAGCAACTTCCCAGAGGAGCCAGCCTCTAAGGTTCTGGAAGGTACTATCCAGAACAGCTTGTCCCCGAAGGTGTATTACTGGGAGCTTCAGTGAGGCTACAGGTTCAAACAGGAGATTGATGAACTATGCCTGTCTGCCTGTGTTCTTTATCCACTGTCAGTCAGCTTTATTTCCGCTGCCTGTTTGTGTCAAGGAAAGCCAAATTCTATGAATATTTAGTATAGCTTTGCCATGAAAAATTAAAGTCTCAGTATTTTTCCAATGTGAGATTTAGATGTTAGATGACTTCCTGTATTTCAGGAATTCATCCTTCTTTGACACATGAGGTTAAGAGAATGGAAAACAAGAGAATGATGCTGAGAGTGGGCAATTCAATAATTTATTTGACTGAACTGGCTCAGACCTCCAAATTTGATAGCACTAGGTATCAGTGTTGCCTTTTCTTTCAAAGTAATGTGAATTTGAAGTATAACCAGCAATTAAAATTGCTATTAGAGCAACAATTTGCTTCTTGTAATCTGCTGTTTTTCCCAGCCCTAATTGAAAAGACTCTTTTTAAGGTTCATTGGTTTCAGCTGAACCTGAGCTTACAGCAAGCATGTGTTAGTGTGTTTTTGGTAGCAGGGTCACACACAGGCTTGTGTGTGCAGACGTGCACACACACACACTAATGCTCAATTTAAAAATGGAAAAGTTAAGCTGAGTGATTTCTGTTATTCGTGGATTCTGAAGTCAGCATTTAGATTTGTGTGGTACAGTCATCAGATCAAATTCAATGTAACCAAACATCAGACGTGAAGAGAGTTTGTGGTCATGCAGGCAAAGGCTATTCACTAACCATAATAAAATTTTTATGGAGCACAGTATTACAGTCAGATTCATGATGTGGTATTGGAAACATTTACTTTTTTTTTTTTTTAAACCACTGACCTGCTTTGAGAGGCTGATATTTAGGTTTTTTAATTCTTGGAGAGGCTTTGAATGATAGTATGTTTCTTTGAAAGCAAAGTCACACAGTAAGAAAACTAACACACTATTAATTTTATGTATTGCCTCATGTCTGTATAAGGATAGATGAGTATTTACATATATTTTACTGCATCTTTTTAAAGAATTAACAATATATCTTGAATTATTTCTTTTTTAATGACTGCATTGCATTTCATTGTGTGGACTTTACATAGACTATCCAACCAATTCCCTGTTAATCTAAATTTGGGTTGTTCACAATATTTTGCTCAATGCCTCAATGAATAACTTTGCACATATGTTTCATTCTTGTAGAAGTGCCTAAAAGTATAATTGCCCCACCATGTAATTGCTGAGACAGAGGGCAAATATGTATATTATGATGTTGTTGTTCAGTCGTTCAGTCATGTTCAACTCTTTGCGACCCCCTGAATTACAGCACTCCAGGCTTCCTTGTCCTTCACTATCTCCTGGTGTTTGCTCAAACTCACGTCTGTTGAGTCAGTGATGCCATCATACTGTCATCTCATTCTCTGTCACCCCCTTCTCCTCCTGCCCTCAATCTTTCCCAGCATCAGGGTCTTTTCCAATGAGTTGGCTCTTTGCATCAGGTCACCAAAGATTTGGAGCTTCAACATCAGTCCTTACAATGACTATTCAGAGTTGCTTTCCTTTAGGATTGATTGGTTTGGTCTCCTTGCAGCCCAAGGGACACTCAAGAGTCTTCTCCAGCACCACAGTTTGAAAGCATCAGTTCTTCAGCACTCAGCCTTCTTTATGGTCCAACTCTCACATCCATACATGACGACTGGAAAAACCATAGCTTTGACTAGATGGACCTTTGTTGGCAAAGTAATGTCTCTGCTTTTTTTTTTTTTGTCTCTGCTTTTTAAAATGCTGTCTAGGTTTGTTGTAGCTTTTCTTTGAAGGAACAAGTGTCTTTTAATTTCATGGCTGCAGTCACTGTCCACAGTGATGTTGGAGCCCAAGAAAATAAAGTCTGTCACTGTTTCCATTGTTTCCCCATCTATTTGCCATGAAGTGATGGGACCAGGTGCCATGATCTTAAGTTTTCTGAATGTTGAGTTTTAAGCCAGCCTTTTTACTCTTAGAGGTCACACCATTTTAACCCACCCTTCCTCCCCGGAAAACGTGTGCATGTCAGTTTCTTCCCCATGACCTGACCTACAGAGTGTGTTGTCAAGCCTTTGGACTTTTGCCAGAAACCTTTTTTCTTTTTTTTTGTTCCCCCTTGCCACCGTCTTTTCCCAGAGTCAGCAGGAGAAACCAGACATCTGAGCTGATGAGTGTGCTGGAGCTGGCTTGGTGGGCTCACCAAGGTCTACTGTGGAAAGTCCAGAGACTTTGTGCTTGTTGTTAAACATTACACTTAAACTATAATATAAAAAGCATATAAACTACATGAATATTAGGAACAAATGGCAATAAGTTCTCAGAAACATGACTTTCTAATCACAACTTTTACTTACTGTTGATGGTGGTGGTTTAGTCACTCGGTCGTGTCTGACTCTTGCAACCCCATTGACTGTAGCCCACCAGGCTCCTCTGTCTGTGGGATTTTCCAGGCAAGAAGACTGGAGTGGATTGCCATTTCCTTCTCCAGGAGATCTTCCTGATCCAGGAATCAAACCCAAGTCTCCTGCTTTGCAGGCAGATTCTTTACTGACTGAGCTACGAGGGAAGCCCTTTATTGATGGTAATTTCCTCCTATTGTCTTTAAGGCTGAGACACAAGGTGAGTGAGTGTGCATCTCTGCTCAGTGACCCACTTACTTTGTAGCTTGAAGTCAGCGTGGTGGAAGTAGTTACACTATGGAAATCAGTATACACTACAAACTGTGACTTTTACCTCCCTAGAAGAATCAATTGTATAAGTTTTACTAGCATAGCACTACTCACTAGGAAAGAAGTCTGTCACTGTTTCCATTGTTTCCCCATCTATTTGCCATGAAGTGATGGGACCGGATGCCATGATCTTAGTTTTCTGAATGTTGTTTTAAGCCAGCCTTTTTACTCTTAGAGGTAGAAAACCTCTAAGAGTAGAAACCCAGGAGAAAACCTGGTTCTGATATTTTTCATAAACCTTGGAGATGTTGTGAGTTCAGTTCCACACCAGCACAAGATTGCAATATAGTGAGATACATGACCTTTTGGTTTTCTAGTACATGTACAAGTTATGTTTATACTACAATAGTCTCTCAAGCATGTGATAGCATTATATCTAAAAAAAAATGTAAATACTTTAATGAGAAATACTTTATTGCTAAAAAGTGCTAACCATCACCTGAGCCTTCAGCAAGTCGTGATCTTTTTGTTGGTGAAGGTTCCTGCCTTGATGCTGATGGCTGCTGACTAATCAGGGTGGTGGCTGCTAAAAGTTGGTGTGGCTGTGGCAATTTCTTAAAATAAGACAACAGTGAAGTTTGTTGCATGAACTGAGACTTCCTTTCACCAACAATTTTTCTGTAGCTTACAGTGCTGTTTGATACCAATTTACTTCCAGTCAAAATTCTTTAAAAACTGGAGTCAGTTCTCCCAAACCCCACAGCTGCTTAGTCAACCAAATTTACCTAATATTCTAAATCCTTACTTGTGATTTCAACAGTCTTCTCAGCATCTTCACCAGAAGTAGATTCTATCCCAAGAAACCACATCCTTTGCTCATCCATAAGAAGCATCTCCTCATCTGTTAAAGTTTCAACAGCATGAAAACAGTGTTAATCTCCTTGTACATCTCTATGAGAGCTCTTGGATGACCAAGTGCATAGTCAATGAGCAGAAATATTTTTGAAAGGAATCTTTTTTTTTTTCTGAGCAGTGGGTCTGAACAATAGGCTTAAATTTCTCAGTAAACAGTGTTGTAAGCAGATGGGCTGTCATCTAGACTTTGTTGTTCCATTTATAGAGCATGGAGTACAATTAACATTTTAAGGGCTCTAAGATTTTGAATGGTAAATGAGCGCTGGCTTCAACTACAAGTCACCAGCTGCAATAGCCCCTAATAGGAAAGTCAGCCCGACCTTTGAAGCCAGGCATTGACTTCTCGTCTCTAGCTGTGGAAGTCCTAGATGACATCTTCTTGTAATAGAAGGATGTTTTGTTTACATTAATGATCTGTTGTTTAGTATAGCCACCCTCATTAATTATCTTAGTTAGGGGATGGCAGAGGATGAGATAGTTAGAAAGCATCACCGACTCAATGGATATAAGTTTGAGTAAACTCGGGGAGATACTGGAGGACAGAGGAGTCTGGCGTGCTGCAGTCCACGGCGTTGAAAAGAGTCAGTCACGACATGGGCGCTAAACAACAACAGCAAAGATCTTCTGGATGGCTTACGGCAGCTTCTGCAATAGACTTGCTGCTTCCCTTGCACTTTCACATTACGGAGATGGGTTCTTTCCTTAAACCTCATGAACCAACCTCTGCTAGCTTCAAACTTTTCCTTTGCTGATTCCTCACCTGTCTCAGCCTTCATAGAATTAAAAAGGGTTAGGGCCTGGCTCTGGACTAGATTTCGGCTTAAGGGCATCTTGTGGCTGCGTTGATCACCCAGACCATTGAAATGTCCATATCAGTAACAATGCTATTTCACTTTCTTATCATTCACATGTTCACTAGAGTCAGCCTGTTTAATACCCTTCAAGAACTTTTCCTTTGCATTCACAACTTGGTTTTTTGGGGGGCAAGATGCCTGTTTTTTGGCTTCTTTTGGTTTTCAACATGCCTTCCTCACTAAACTGAATCATTTATAACTTTTGATTAAAAGTGAGACATGCAACTCTTTCTTTCACTTGAGCATGTAGAGGCCATTGTAGGCTTATTAAGTGGCCTAAATTCTATACTGTTGTGTCTCAGGAAATAGAGGGAGACAAAGGGAGAGAAACAGGGGAGTGGCCAATCAGTGGAACATTCAGAAGACACACCCATTTATCTGTTAAGTCTGCCCTCTTACATGAGAGTGGTTCATGGTGTCCCACACAATGACGGTGGCAACATCAAAGATCACTAATCACAGATCACCATGAAAAGTATAATGATAGCAAAGGAGTCTGAAATTTGGTGTGAATTACCAAAATGCAGTGCGGGGATGTGCAGAGGAAATGCTGTTGAGAAAATGGTGCCCGCCTGAAGACTTGCTCAACTCAAGGTTGCCAGAAATCTTCAATTTGTTTAAAAAAAAAAAAAGGAACCTCTGCAAAATGCAGTAAAATGAGATATGCCAATATAAATGCCAAACCCAAACACATTTTCCTCCTATGTTCTTTCTCTTTAGTCTGCCTCATGCCTCCTTCAGGGTTAATCTTGCAGTAATATCTACCCGCAGACGTTGGGTTCATAATGCATTTATCTTTTATTATCTTGTTGTTAAATATGGGGTTTGGGTTGGTGTTTCAGTCTGCCCTGTTTGTTACCCTGGCAATAACCATAATGCTAGCTATTTTTCCTCCAAGTTCATGCATAACATGTTATGCTTATATGTTTAAAACCACGTAAGAATGAGATAATTACATTTCACTGATGTCAGTATAAACTGACCGGCCTGTTTTCCACTGTTTGCGGAGTTTTTTATCCCGCCTCTGGCAGAGGTCTGCTTATCTTTACTTCTGTTTACATGTTTCTAGAGCACTCTGAGGCCACTTTTAGATCTTAATTTAATTTTGAAAAGGAATGGAGATTTGTTGGGTTCATAATGCATTTATCTTTTATTATCTTGTTGTTAAATATGGGGTTTGGGTTGGTGTTTCAGTCTGCCCTGTTTGTTACCCTGGCAATAACCATAATGCTAGTTATTTTTCCTCCAAGTTCATGCATAACATGTTATGCTTATGTGTTTAAAACCACGTAAGAATGAGATAATTACATTTCACTGATGTCAGTATAAACTGACCGGCCTGTTTTCCACTGTTTGCGGAGTTTTTTATCCCCCCTCTGGCAGAGGTCTGCTTATCTTTACTTCTGTTTACATGTTTCTAGAGCACTCTGAGGCCACTTTTAGATCTTAATTTAATTTTGAAAAGGAATGGAGATTAAATTTTCTCTCCTTTAGTTTTACGATATTAAATAAATGTTGAGCAAACACTTTCTGGGAGATTTAATCATAAGCAACTTGATTTTTGGCTCCTACTGGCCCTCATTTCTCTCCTGCCCAGGATTACATGTAAGTCATGTTTGTTGGGTTTTCTGGTCTCTCCCAGCAAATGTAAGTGGCTTCATTCCAGGGACTAACGCATCCAGACCCCCATGATATTCACAACTGTGCCCGGCATCTAAAGGTGGGTCTTCTCTCTCCCCCACCAGCCTGGACCTATCTCTCTGCAGTGGTTTGGGTTGGGTAAGGGGACCTGATTCCCCTCCTTGTCTCTTTCCCCACTTCTGTTTCTATTACACAGAGTTGCATGCAAGGAGAAAGTTAAGGAAAGGAGATCAAGAAGATTTTTATCTGATGGTTCTTCCACGACCCGGCATCTGCACTTCCACACTTGTTTGTTGTTTAGTCACTCAGTAGTGTCTGACTTTTTTGTGATCCCCTGGAAGCCCGATCAGCTTCTCTGTTCATGGGATTTCCCAGAGAAGCATACCGATGTGGGCGGCTGTTTCCTTCTCCAGGGCATCTTGTGCACTTGGCAGGAGTTTAAACCTAAATCAGCCAGCTCTTTCAGACAAGACTGAACTTTGGGTCTCCCATGAATGTCCTCCCACATCTGATCCACCTCAAAAGCACACATTCTCTGCTCTTAAAAACTCATTGCACGCAAGTCATCCAAGATCCAGGAATTTTCCTTGACTCTGCCATCAAAGCTTCTCTCTTATATCTTTCATACCGTTCATACTGTTCTTGGGGTTCTTAAGGCAAGAATACTGAAGTGATTTGCCATTCCCTTCTCTAGTGGACCACGTTTTGTCAGAACTCTCCACCATGACCTGTCCATCTTGGGTGGCTGTACACAGCATGGCTCATAGTTTCATTGACTTAGACAAGGCTGTGGTCCATGTGATCAGATTGGTTCGTTTCCTGTGATTGTGGTTTTCATTCTGTCTGCCCTCTGATGGAGAAGGATAAGAGGCTTATGGAAGCTTCCTGGTGGGAGAGACTGACTGAAGGGGGAAACTGGGTCTTGTTCTGATGGGAGGGGCGTGTTCAGTAAATCTTTAATCCAATTCTCTGTTGATGGGTGGAGCTGTGTTCCCTCCTTGTTATTTACTTGGGCCCAAACTATGGTGGGGGCTTCCCTGGTGGCTCAGAGGTTAAAGTGTCTGCCTGCAATGAGGGAGACCTGGGTTCAATCCCTGGGTTGGGAAGATCCCCTGGAGAAGGAAATGGCAACCCACTCCAATATTCTTGCCTGGAGAATCCCATGGATGGAGGAGCCTGGTAGGCTACAGTCCATGGGGTCGCAAAGAGTCGGACATGACTGAGCGACTTCACTTTCACTTTAAACTATGGTGGAGGTAATAAACATAATGGCAACCTCCTTCAGAAAGTCCCACGCATGCCCTGCTACACTCAGTGCCCCCAACCCTGCAGCAGGCCACCGCCGACCCACGCCTCTGCTGGAGACTCCTGGA